ATTTGTGAGTGAAATTAATAGTACATGAACCAGTGAAATTTACATATATATGAATTCAAGCCACGAAATTGGAGAAATTCAGTCGAAAATTCTCATTGGTTTTTCATTGGAAAAAACAATTTAGTTACTAATATATATTTCGATAGTCCAAATAATCTAATTTTTTTTCTAAATTTTTATAACATAATTTCGTAACCTCTTTATATCTTAAAAAAGTATTAAGTACAGTGTGCGCCATTTAGATACGGTATTTCGGCATTCAATAACTCTGTCGGTTTTAAGGCGATTTTGACCAGTATGCATGATTCTGAAAAGCCATTCAGTGCCATTTTAACCCTGAGCCAATACAAAACGAAAGAACGCGCTGAAATGGTACCGCCTTACATTGAAAACAATCCTTCAGTTGTGAAGACAGTGCGTGCTCATTTTAAAAAATATAGGAGACACCTTCAACACCTTCAGGCAACACAGTTCGTAGTTTGGTGAAAAATTTCATCGAGCATGGCTCTGTGGCAACGTCCCATTCGACCGCGTCCGAAACACTCCGCTGAAGTTATGGAAGCGATCAGAGATAGTGGTGCCGATAATCCAAATAGTAATAGTATCGCCGCAGATCTCAGGAGTTAAATGCGTGTGTAACGACTCTACGGAGAATTATGATGCAAAATCTTCATCTTTTTTGTAAACAAAGTCCAACTTACTCAAAGATTGTTGCCAACGGACAGTCGCGTCGCTTGTAATATAGTAATGCAATCGCAAGAATGATCGATGCTGAGCCTGATTTTTGGTATAAAATTTTGATGACGAATGAAGCTCATTTCACCCTCTCCGGCAGAGTCGATAAACAAAACTGTCGAATTTTGGGAACAGAAAACCCACGCTTCATGCGCGAAACACTATTGCACGATCAAAAAGTCGGGCCGGAGTATGCTCAAACACCCTCATCAGACTATTTGTTTTTTTCATTTTGGAGTAACCATCGATGGCACCCGCTAGCGTCAGATGTTGGCACACTTTTTGTGTCCGCAAATTCGTGAAAAAGAGTTTTTGCTGCGCAAGTACCTGACTTTTTTTTTTCTGGTGCTCTTTAAAAAGTAAATTTTATGTCAGCAAGCCAAAGACAATCGACGAACTAAAAGGTAACATGCGAGCTGAAATAGCTGGCAATGTTTGGTGGAATGCGCGAAAAAGTGCTGGGATGGAATACTCGTTAACGTATGACCATTCCGAACGCATCATACCGAATTACGTCAACGAGGACACGTTCACGTATAGCGTAATGCCAAATTCCTCAATTAACGTGACGAGTAACACGTTCACGGAACGCTCGATTCGACCCCTGATTATTCTGTATCAAATGAAGTTGGTCATTTAATCGACGTTGTATTCCAAAACTAATTCGAAATAAATGACAAAGCTAATACTAAATAAATCTCTCTCATCTGTCAATATCGACTGAAAACTGGCAGCGGTTTCAATGTTGAAATACCGAAGGCCTAGAAGCCGAGCTGCCAAAATGTGCTAAAAGTGTTGCTCTTCCGTGTAATAATACAGATATCAGCATTAATCTGACGTCGGTGTACTCATAAATGTGTGAACAACTTCTATAAGTATTTATTTGAGTGCTCAGTTGCTTGCTCACACATACTTACATACGTATATGTGTTAAGTACCATTCCATTAAGTATGCACTTGCGTTGGCTCGCGTAAGTGGTTGCAGGGAAGTTGTTGTTTAAGCAAAGCAAACCTTTCAGACTCAACCTTGAAAAGACTCTTCGTAGTGCCAGTGCTGGCCAAGAGAAGCAAATGTGTTTTGCTAATTGAATCCAGAACATTATGTATATACACGTATGTATAACCCAAAGAGCTAATTACAAATGCAATGCACTATGGGTAAAAAAGTCGAAATTTTCGCATATAGCTAAATTTGAAAGCCAGAGAGTTCAAATTTGGCACAAAGATTTTGAAAATTATTACAGAAATTGTGGAAAACTTCGACGATCATAATGATAGCCAAACCTGGAAAAAAGCAATGCTACCCTCATCATATCGGCCAATTAGCTAGTAGTCCGTTCTTTCCAAACTTTTTTAAAAAGTGCTGCTATCCAAGATATCTCCTGGTCTCCTCCATAAAGAAGTTATACCAAATCATCAATTCGATTTTCGCGTTAAACATGGCACTGTAGAACAGGTCCATCGCACTACCAATGAGATCAGGAAGGCATTTGAGTTGAAAGAGTATTTCTTAGCAATATCTTTTGATGTGCCTCAAGCATTCGTGTATGGCAAGAGGGGCTTATATATAAATTTATAATGATCTTGCCAAAAAATTTACATCAAATCTTCATATCATACTTAGCAAGGTAGAAGGTTTACAGTTAAAGTAAAGGAGTATCTAATGATGGCTGGTGTTCCTTAAGGCGACATTTTGGGACCAATACTGTATGTCCTATTTACTGCAGACATTCTGACGTCCGCAAAAATGTTAACATCAACATTCGCAGACGAAGCAAGTGCCCAATAAAAGCCTCAACCATACTAGAAAATCACATAAAACTCGTTGGGAGATGTCTGTCAAACTGACGCATAAAAGTCAAGGAGTAAAAGTTTAAGTCCAATACTTACAACGTACTGGTCCTTCATGCAAGCAAAGTGAAACGCCTCGGCATCCACCTATATAGGCGACTTATCTGGAAGAGTCATATTTCTGCTCAAATGCAGAGCCTCGCACTTCAAACAGGAAGCCTAAATTGGTTACTGGGTAAAAATTCAGGATTATGCCTGAATCATAATGTCCTTCTATAAAATTCTGCGGTTATAGGGTGGCAACTAGTACCCATGAAATACAGGGATTAAAATCAAAAACTCCACGATACCTCACTGGTGCCTCATGGTATATGCGCAACGAAAACATACATAGGAGACTTTTAAATACCAATGGTAGACACAGAAGTGACAAACACCTGGCGAAATATCTGCCGAAATACCTGCCGAAACTAGAAAACATCCTCTAGCAAAAGTTTTATCTCACCCATCAGGAAACTCGCCTTGGGAGAAGAGATCTGCCAGTATTTTGAAGAGCAACCTTTCACCTGACGTCCATTGCTATTAATGGACTAAAGTAGTTATTTATTAGTTGTTGAGATTCTAAAGCTTATTATCAGGCTTAAATTAAGCAGATTCAGTTAATAAATCTCCTTTATGTGTAAAAAAAAGAGATACTTAACAGAGTTGGAGGGTAATATAATGCTACCTCTTAGAGACGATAAGCTGAATTGATAATTTTTTGAATTACTGTAATGAATCAGATTTCCTATTTTCAGGGTTTACTGAGATTCCTTGTCTCCCTGTCCAATCAACTGCGATTTTGAGTGCCCTTTCTATAAAGGGGGTCCTCCCCTGATATTGGGCAAAGATCAGGGAAAGGTTGTATTTTTTTTGTGGGAGAATGAAAAGGCGTTTTGACCATTAAATTTGTTTATTATTTGAAATTTTAAACAGCAAAAAAACTAGTCGAGACTCAAATTGGCCCAACAACTTCCAGCCTACAGCCTCTTGTAGTGGAGTGAAATCAAAAATCGTTGTCATTACTAGAAGGTCATGAAATATTCTACGTCCTGAACATCAATTGAAACAATTTTAACGATAAATTTATTGCTTAATGCTCATTGTAATTATAAAGTGAATTTTTTTGCTATTTTTTTCACTTCAATTACGAAAAGAAAATATTTAAAAAACGCTAATCTTAGATTCAAGACGTACAAAAAATACTTTGAAACTGTTTTCAGATTAAAGAATTCGGACGGATAGATCCAGCACGGGCTTGAAGTTAGATTCGAAATCATGGTTAAGAGAAAAACGTGTTCAAAGTTTTTTGAAACTTCGCAGCGTGCATGAGATAGGTGTGTTCGAGGAGTTGCCATTTGAAAAATATTCATCGTATTACGAAATACCTATAAAAACACACTCTACAAATATGTGGCTTTCTTTTTTTTTGCATAAAAAATAGGGTTTTGGATCCAAAATTAGGGGAGGGTCCCCTTAAAGTACTAATTCCAGCCTGACCAAAAGACGAGTTTATTATTTGCCTGTCATGTACTAATATTTTATATACCGTCGGCGATATCGGATACCAGGGATAAGTGTTAACATAAATATAATATAAATGTTTCCTTAAAATATTCTTTGAATTTATCAACATCAATAGAATGCCCGCATGAAAATACAAAATTTATCATTGGAGCTTTGTAACCGCTGAAGCGATTTTCGGCCGAGCTCCTTCTCCAATTTGTGGTTTTTGCGTCTTGTTGTTTTTCCAACAAACTGAAGGACCTACAGTTTATACTAAGCCGCCTCCGATTGGCTGATGGTTTTTTATGAGAAGCCTTTTATTTCATGTCTTGAATACGCTAGGTTTTCTTTACCTTACCTGACAAAACGCTACCGCAATTAGAAGATTTAACAAATTGTTTAACTATTTTGTTTAAATTTTCCAATTATTACTCCCTTTTCGGTTTTGCACCGATTTTTGCCAGAACACTACTTGGTCGACCTTTAATTTTTGATTTTCTTCGTTTGATTGATGGCTGAGTGAAGCCTTTTGTATTTATTGTATTCATGAACGATATTGGAACATCGAATGCTCTCTATCATATTCTCCTTTTTATTATATCGATCAATCGATGGTGCATACTGTGATGTTTGACAGGAAGTCAAAAACAAGGCTTCACTCCAGCCATTGCTGACGCCATATTTATGTTCTGCAAGGTAGCACTGCCATCCATCAGTCTGCTGCGGTCGATAGAGCCTTCAAATGGACGCTTAACTAATATAACAAATTTTGAACAGCCCAACCGCTCGATGAATACATTCAACCTTCATAAAGTCTAGATCAGATATCTAACTATCTGACCTCTTTGCATCTTCCCATTCCAGTTCTCTTGTTGAGTAAGCGATTGGCGTCTGCGGTGTCTTTTTTGTATATTTTTGCAATGAGCCTACTGCTCAACTTGAATACATTTCACATTTTCCCTCACCCGCTTATACAACAGCTACGGACATATAAATGGGATATTTTCATAAATAATTCACTTGAGGCGATTGCACAATGGAGCATAAAAACTATTCGAGGACTCTGCTGGAAATTTCCGTCTAGGTGTTGAATATTCTATAAAAATATAACGCAAACTCTTGATACGAGGGAACCGCTTAAAACTAATTATATATTGTAAATAAGTGCATTTGTATAATATATATATATATAAAGGCTATATAAAAGTAAAAAGTCATTAGTGTTATGTGCCACATCCAACTATTTTTCATTGAGTATTGTTCTTGAACGAAATCACTGACTCTTCCCCACCCTGTGACGACTCCTCTCAATCGTATTCAGCAAAACAATCCTCCATTCGACGCGCAAACACCTGCGGTAAAACTCCCTCGGACTGTAAACACCCTGTTGGCCCTAGCAGATGCAGTGCAATGTGATCTCGGCAATCGATTACACCGTTACGATTGCAATCGCGTGCATATTTGTTGATGTAGGCAGCAACCACGCGTGTCGCACAGTACATATTGTTCACGCAGCGGCCATAAGCTGAAAGTAGAGCAGAAAATAAATTGTAAATTTGAGTGGGAAAGTTCGTGTGAAGAATAAATAATAAAATATTTTTAAAGCTCCTAATTCATGGTTAGGTGATCACATGTATACTTGTCGTTTCACATTGACTGCGGGGCGTGCTCTCGTCGCCCTTTGAGTGGCAATTGCAAGCGCTAAGTAGCCAATTTAATGTGCACAGATGGACAGTAAACAAAGTTGCCGAGGTTCTTATACTAGGTGGTGTTGATATACATATATATCTCGGTTGACACTTAACACAAACAAATCTTTGAAAGGTGAATTTTCAATAAATACTTGAAGGGAAAAGAGTACGGAGTGAAAAGTTAAAAGCTCTACAGACATGTGCCGAAAAATAGTGGGGCTTACGAATGCCGTAAGTGAAAGCCGGACCCAAGGGTGGCTTAGGCGATACCAGTCCAGAAATTTTGATGTCAGAACGATTGACATTCTTCTTGTCGGCTAATCACGCGAAAAACCGATGAATTTATGCAAATGGCGAAATAAGACCAGCATAAAAGCTCTCAGAAAATAGCGGAGGCTTTTTAAACTTTAAAAAAGAATTTACGGCAAGCAAAGTGCTGGTGAGTGTACTGTGAAATTGAAAGGGTCTCATCCAACAAGAGCTGACACCTAGAATAACGGTCAATTTTTTACTCAACTGTCAAAAAAAAAAAACCTCCAGAATTGATCATTTCAAGGCCAAACTATTTACATCTTTGACGACCAGGCAATTCCTAACTAAGAAGTTGTAAGATATACAGGGTTTTCCAATAAGAGTTGATATTTTCATATTAATTTTTTTTTGAGATAAATAGTCGAAAGATATTCCATTAATAATGAAAAACAATATAAGCCAAATGGCTGCCACGACTACCCTTACAGGACCGTATTTTTTTTTTTTGAAATTCTCCATCATCATATCGTAAAAAGACAGTTGTATGCTCCCAATAGCTTCTCGAATTCCATCCTTCAGGTCTTGAGTCGATGTTGGCTTATCGGTGTAGACCATATTTTTTGAATGACCCTAAAGGAAGAAGTCGCAAGGTCTTAAATCACAAGACCTCGGAGCCCTCTTCGAGAAAAACACGGTTCGTAAACTATACTCTTAAAAGCTCAATGGATTCGACACTCGTATGACACGCAGTGCTCTCTTATTGAAATTAAACTTTGTCCAGATCAATACCATCCGATTCCGGCTAGAAAATATCATTAATCACCTTTCGATAACGCAATCCATTCACCGAAACTGTTGATCCAGCCTCATTTTCGAAAGAGTAAGAGCCAGAAACCACACCAAACAGTACCACGTTGACAATGTAGAACCTTTCCACCAATAAATCTTGGATTTGTCGAGCCTCTGATACGACAGCTTGGCGTATTGACGTAGCGATCGATGTGGAAATGATTAATCGATGAAATTCCGTATCATTTTCATGCATTTCAGGGACCCATTCAGCAAAGACATGGCATTGTTGATGATCGGCCGGCTTGTGTTCTTGTGTTAACTGATTTTTATAAGCCTTAAGGCCCTAGCCTTTCTGCGAAATACCGGTGTAATGACGTTTTTGGAATTCCCAAAACCAAAGAATGAGAGGAGTGGACAAATCTGGATTTTCTTCAATTTCATTTTAGCTACAGCACCAATATTTTCAGTTGTTCGTGAGCAACTAGCGCGCCTTTTATTTGATTCTTTTTTCCAGCAATTCCTGTAAAACGATCCGACAAGGTAGTGTCATGACGACTGAAAAATCTTTTAGATTTACGAACCGTCTCTGCTAGGGTTTCACCACTTTTAAAGTGAATTTTAATAATTTCAAAGCGTTCTTGAAGCCTGCATCATTTCATTTTTATACTGTCGCTGATTTACTTGTAAAATGTCAAAAAATTACAGCTTCAAAGGCGACATCTACCGGAAGATCGTTCTATTCAAAAAATATCGGCCAACCAAAAAATGGCTGAAATTCGCATGCCGAGTTCTCACGCATAAATCACAGAGGCTTACACTGGTGGCATTATGAATCTAACCGAAAAGTAGCATAAAGTCTAAGGTAATAATGGTCAAAAAATTTCGTTGAAAAATATGGAAGAACCACAGATAAAGTAAGGTTATTTAACAATATTTCACTTGTAATTCGGGCAACCGTTGCACAGTGGATTAAGCGTAACGAACTTAATTATTTTTTTTCTGGTTCGATTTGGGAAAATAACAATAATTTTGATTAAATCTTCTATAGTCGAATAGGAGTTATTAGACTCTTCATGAAAGTCCAACTGAAGATTTTGAGCTTCCCTATCAAATAAAAATGTTTTGCAGGACTTATGTGACCAATTTTGGCACAAACTTTTTATGAATGCGTCCGAAGAGACTAGTAAGGAATTCATAATATCCTCCATTGTATTTTTGCGCGAATTCTTGCGAGTATGATTAAATCGGAAGTTTCTCAAAACTTTATTTCTAGCTTCCAATGCTTATTCCTACATCATGTCAATCGGAAGTGGTACTTTTTTTTTGATATCAGGTCCTTGTATCAAAATTCTGTGTACTGAGCTTTGCATATAGAAGAACCATGGATATTCTCTTATGGAAATTTTTGCAAATTTGCAGTTATTCAACAATTGTATTCAAAATATCCTCACTAAAATAACATTTTTCTACAATGTTTGAAAAAACAAAATCGTTAATTGCTTTTACTTTGTTCGCCACAGGTTTTGCCACAGGCTTTGCTCGAAGTCAAACCGAAAATATTTCTCATTTGCAAACAGACACGATTGCTAAAAAAATCAACATTCATTGTATGGGCAGCCTAGGGCAGTTAATCTTTAATAATTTAAACAGTGGACGATTCATACTTTTAGATAATTCTACTTTTTTGCCTGCCAATCCCTTCTTCATAAAGTTTTTCTCTTTTTGGAGTGAAGATGAGCCAGTAGCATTGCAAGAGCTACCATTGCGTCCAATGCAAAAGTCACAGTTTCGTGTGGTTTATGGGCTGGTGGCATCATTGGATCGTACTTCTTCAAAGATCATACGAATTGTAACGTAACTGTGAATGGTGAGCGCTACCATGAGATGATATTAAACCCTTTTTTGTCCAGAACACAAGAGCTTGACTTGCATGTGGTTTCAACAAGACGGTGCCACATGCCACACAGCACGCGTAACAATAGACTTATTGAGAGACTAGTTCGGTGAACATTTTATTTTACGTGCGGCACCGGTCAATTGGCCGCCTAGATCGTGCGATTTAACGCCCTTAGACTATTTTTTGTGGAGCCATGTTACATCAAATGTCAATACAGACAAACCCGCTTCAATTGACGCATTTGAGGACAACAGTAAAGCCTCTATTCGTGAGAGACTGGCCGAAACATTGGAAAGAGTTTGCCAAAATTAGACTAAGCGGATGGATCATTTGAGGCGCAATCATGGTCAACATTTGCATGAAATAATCTTCAAACATTAAATTATATGGATCATACTATCGATTTCAAAAAAGATTTAAGCATTTTTCTGATTTTTTCGTGTTTTTTTTTTTTGATAGACTTTCCTATGGCTCTTAAAAAATCACCCTTTACAAACTTTAATACTGTGGAAACACAAAAATGTAGAAGCAAAGCGGCAGCTTTAGAAAACAAGTGGAGCTAAGTTAGCTTGTGTTCGAAGGAACAGAGTTTATCGACTTTGACGCTATCGATTTCCCAAAAATTAATATTTTGGAATCGCTGCCAAAACAAATTTTACTAGATTTCAACAGTTCAAAATTGTATTTCGTTACGCTAAATTCAATAAATTTCCCGCTTTGTGCGTTGTGCTCAATTCAACCGCAATTCACATGTGTAGGGGGGATCTTGCCACCGGTTTCAAATTTTTTAGTTAATAAAAATTTCAAATTACTTTTCACTTTTTAAATTACTTTTGAGATACATAAATAATTCAAATATTGAAAAACATGAAGTGCAGTCGTGTAAACCAAGCAAATCCTAATATGTCCTCTACTTGGCTGCATAAAGCTTTCAATGAATATCAACATCTAAAAGTGGCTTACTTGTGTTCGTATTATCGGTGCTGCCTTCATCGCCCTCAAGTGCTGGCATACCGGCATCTAACCAATAGGGTCGAGATATGCGAAAAACGCCACAGTCCATATTGTTGCCACACACAGCAGGACGGCACTCCGTTGCTGTGCGGCAGATGCATTGCATACAGGCTTCGGTTATGTGTCGTGCGCCACCACCTCCATTCATAATTTGCCATACCCGTGATGTTTCAGTTGAATCTCTTGCTGTCGTTGCAGAAGCTTTCGCTGTAGCGGCAGAAGCTGTGAAAATTTCACTTTCTCTTGTTGCTCCAGGCAAGGATGCGCTTGCCATTAGAGGTGCAGTTGCAGAGGTAGGAACTTTGATGGCTTCAGGTGTTGATGCTGCGGATGAGATTGAAATTGTGTTGTATTGAGGTTTTTGACATGAAAATCATTGTGTGTGTGTGTGTATGTAGCGCTTGTGGTAATGGAAATTATTATTGAATGCTTTGGTGTGTGTGAGTGCTTTGCTAGCCACTGGTTAAGCGCTACCAAAGTAGCCACAACATGGTCATTATTAGCCCTGCTGAGGGCATCATTATTGCTGTAGTTATTGAGCATTTTGTATGGGCAGAACATATTTCACAAGCGATTGTGTAAAGTATCTATGGATAAGTGTTCAAACTATTTATAGCGATAACGGTGCGGATATTTGTTTTTGTAAAAATGCTGTTATTATCACTTAGGCGAGCGTTCTTGGCCTGATTGTTTAGGTTGATTTAGGTACTTAACTTACTTTTATTTACATAATATATGTATGTACATAGAGATATACAAGTATGTGTGCTTAAATCAAACGAGGAAAGGACTCTCCTTGTCCTTAAATTTGGTTTGTTCAGCTTTGTTTTACCTCCAGATTAGATATTTTCATTCAAGTTATCCTAGTTGACTGCTACGCCTTACGGCTCTTCGACCTTTGGAGGTAGTTCAAATTGATTCGGGTTAAAGTCCGAGCCATTCGATAGCAAACGAGGTTTTAGGCAGTGTGAGCTTCAAAGCTGAATAGAGAAGGTAAACTTTTCGATAAGAGAGTCATAGTTATGACTGTTAATAACTTTGAAGTCGTAGATAATTTCGTCTATCTAGGAGCCAATATTATCACCAACAACAAAGTCAGCCTATAAATCCAGCGCAGAATCACTCTTGCTATCAGAGACTACTTTGGATTGAGTAGGCAATTGAAAAGTAAAGTAATCTCTGGACAAGCGAAGGCTCAACTTTACAAGTCGCTCGTCATAACCGTCCTGTTATATAGCGCGAAAGCGTGGACGATGTGAACATCTGCTGAGTCGGCTTTGAGAGTCTTTGAGAGAAAAACTGGGTCTTCTCTACCTTATTGTGTCAAATATGAAAGCTAACTAACTTGCTAATTTTATTTGGAGGTCGCAATGTGCCTAATCTTAGAAAATATTTGCGAGAAAAGCCCATATTTCTCTATATTTGAATTTGGAATCCACGCAAAACTTATTCGGCTCTATAAGAATTTATACGGACCTTGCCGAGTCTTTCGGTCCAAAGAGGGTTTCGGATTAGGCAACTTTATTACCCCGCCGTAAGTTTTGTTCTCTACAAACTGGACAATGAAACGTCACGAAAGTGTGAGTGGTGACTAGACGAATCATCCACGTGACTGTTAACAGTCACGGCTTGGAAATTTCAGATGATTTTGTTTTTCTATGAACCCAAATAAATGTCTTTAACCCTCTCAGCCTGGACAGTTGCTACTTTTGACGACGAACCCAGCGATATCGAGCTAACGCCCAGCCAACTTAGGAGCGCATCTAAACGTTAAGCTAAAAATCCAACAGACCGATGACTGAAAACCAGTGGCGCTCCAAACTGCCTTGATCCCGAAACTGGAAGGTCACGGTTACGCTTGGCTCTTACACTAAACAGCTACAGATTTGCTCATCAGCTGGTATAAAATTACAAGCGAAAAAGGAGAAGGAATTTACTCACTTTTTTAAAACAGGGTTCGATAAAAAATGGGTCTAACAAATGACGTAGAGAGAGCGGAGAACTGAAAAGTAAAGTTCTCTCTCGGCGAACAAAAAGCCAGACTCTACAAGTCGCTCTAACGTTCGTCACGGTGCACACGCAAAGATTTTGGCATCATTCGATGAATCGACTCAGTTAGTCTTCCTCCTCTGGGTGTGGACAGCGGCTAAATCATATCATTCGGGTTGACGTAAATACTACAGCTCTGAAAGTACTGATGGAGGCAGAAGCAGAGGGAGACCTTAAGGCGCGGAGGAGAGAAGAGACTGACCCCATATGCCAATTTAGGATTCAAATAATTAATTCGGCTATAATCACAAAAGTGGTGCTCACGCTAATTGAGAAGAAAAGTTGCGGACGCTCCACGGCTGGCGAAATTCTTGTATTTCGAATACGAAATGAAAATTTTCTCATAATATATGTACATATGTATATACCTCTGTATATATTTTAATATACTTTACACCAGGTAATAATGAATTTTAGCGACTGAACAATGAGTGATTTTCCTCGCCAAAACTTACCAACAACCTTCTCTGGCGAATTGTGATGCAAACGGCCGAGATGAGGCTTCTGACGCAGATGTAGGTAAATGGAACCGCTGATCAACAAAACTGCAGCAATCAGCGAAATAACGGTGCAAATAGGACCGCATTTGGCTTGCGTCTTAGAGAGGAGCATGTGGTTGACACCAGAACTGCTGCTTTTAACCCTGGACTCTTGACTTGATACCCTTCTATTTACTTCTGACGCGCCGATGTTGTTGTTATTATTATTGGCGGCTGCAATAGTGCTGGAGAGTGCGGCGCCATTGTGGTTAATCGGCCGGATATTCACAACGAATTTCGTTTCACCCGTCAGTTTTGGCTTGTACGCACTTTCATGTACGGCTCTCATGATTGCGTAGGGAAAATTGATTTTTAATTGCAATTAAAATTTAATTGAATATTTGTTATAAAATTGAAAATTTCACTGACATTCGACCAACGATTAAAGAGCGTTTCGATGCGCTTCAAAACACTGCTCATATTCTACTACGGCGGCTACTTGATTTCCACTCAATCCCTCCCAAGTGAGATTGTGACACTTTTTTGTTTATATGAATGTTGTTGTTGTTGCAATTAATTGTATTTTGTGTTTACAAGTGATTTTTGCTTTTGCTACTGATAACCTCTACAGCTCTTAATTACATACATATGTGATATGTGCGTATGTGTCGGTATACATTGTATACACTCGCATGTGTGTGTGTGTGTGTGTGTGTGTGTATGTAGCGCTTGTGGTAATGGAAATTATTATTGAATGCTTTGCTTCATTGTGGTTGATTCCGATTAAATAATGAGCTATTGATGCTAACGATCCCAGCTTGGCGAGTTGAGATTTCATTGTTCATGCCTGGGATACTGTAATATGAGATAATGCAATTAAAAAATAGTTTTATAAATGAAAACAAAGTAAATATGAAGGGTCGAGTGTTTGCGATTTTTGATTTTTACACAATTAAACTTTGGTCCGAAAGAGACTAAGTAGCTTTTATTTTGTTTGAAAAAAATATAAATACATACATATATTCACCTAAGGTTAATAAAGCCATTTACAGCTATGGACAGAGATTTAGCGCAGTTTCTCACTTTTAAAAAAATATTGCCGTTAAATAAGGGTGTTGAAAATTATAAATATTGTACCATCTAAACCATAGAGCAGACTCACCCAAATTATACGTAAGGCCGGGATTCGAGTTCTAGATCGACATACAATCAAAAATTATATAAAAATAGATTTATATATTAAATAATTAAGTTAAATTTGAAACTCCAGGACTGGAAGATGGTATCTTACCCGCCGAGCTACAGAGGGCTGAGGACATCTTATTCCGACCTGTCTGCGTGATGGATATATTCCCAATTCGTGGGCTAGAACCAATGTAATTTTTATCCCAAAACGATGAAGAGCCAATCACATCAACCCTACGGACTTCCGGCCACCTTCTTCATCTTAAAATCTTTGAAATGCTGCTTGACAGCTACATATACCTGTATATACCCCCAGGCAGCCTCTCGAGGAAGCAACATGCGTGCTCTAAGGGTAATTGTCTGTCGACATAACCATGCACGATTTAGTCGGAGGCATCGAATAAGGACTCGCCTTGAAAGAATATACGCTTCATATGTTCCTCGACATTGTAGGGGGTGTTCAACAACATACTTTTTCCATTTGTAAAAGAACCTCGTCCAGAATTAGGTCTTCAACAGCGCATAGTGAATCTTGTAGGGTCTCTTCTGAGAAATAGGATCATCTTCCCATAAATGGGAAGCGCCAACATAGCCAGGCTCTCTACTAGAGGCACCCCTGACGGAGGAGTTTTATCGACACTGCTATGGTGTGTAACAGGAAACACGCTGATTAGAAATTTACACAGCTCAGGATGTGATGAGGTGGCTAACGCTGATAACTTTATCGTAACAGAGAAGGGTAAACTTATATAAATTTTAAGTGATCTTCTCCAAAATGCGCTTTACAATATTAGGAACTGTTGCAAGAACAGCGGGCTGGAAGTCAACCCAGATAAAACCGATAAAACCGAAAGGGTTCTTTGTACCAGAAGTCACGAACCGACTCCTTTTAAGCCACCTCTCTACCGACTTTAAGTTTCTGGTAATAATCTTGAAGTTGGAACACGGAAAGCTATAACTGCACTTTACAACTGCAAAACGGCGGCAGCAAAAAGATGGGGTCTTAGACCGGGTGATCTAAGGGGGGCGAGACTCGAAAAAATTACTTTCATGAGTAAGCTAGAGTGAGTTCAACGATAAGCTGTTGTTCTGGTAACAGGAACACTTCCATCAACTCCCTCGAAAGCATTGTTAACTCTCCTCCACATCCTTCCTCTGGACCTATACGGGAAACTACAAGCGGGCTGCAATTCTATTAGACTGAATGCGACTCAACCTTGGTAGAATTGCAGTATAGGACACACCAGAAGTTACAAAAGCAGATGGCTCGAAGCTTGATGGAAAAGTGGTCTGTGGATTTTATTCTCCCATGCTCTCATTAATCATGAGCAGGACTCTACCAGACCAGTTTAGTGTTTTTTAGGCGGAACTCTTTGCAATAATGGAGGCTGCATAAATCTACGGCAGCAGGATAATCTGTTACAATATAATCCGACAGTCAAGCTGCCATCAGATCTCTCCAATGTAATGGCACCATGTCAAAAGAGGCTACAGAATGAATGTAGGAACTCTCTCAACAAACATTATACTAAATATAGCACTGGCATTGCCTTGTTACCTGGACACAGGGACAACCCAGACAATTGCATGACGGACGAACAAACCAGGGAAGGAACCCTTCTATCTACGATAAAACACACTTTGCTGGTGTACCTCTATACATGCTTAAGCTGGCTTTTACCAGAGAAGCTGACTAAAGATGGTTGAACGAGAGCACTACCTCTGCCACTGTCCAGCCTTGACATCAGCGCATAACAAGTTCCGTGGGAAACATTTCTTCGACTGTCGGAGCGAATATTGGAAATCTCGTCGCCTTTATAAGGCACACGAAATGGTTCGATCATCTGGGAAGGTGAAGGCAGGAGCCTCAACGGTATCACAATGAGCCAACTGGCATAAAACTGCTGGTAGCAAACACCGCATCAACTCAACTCAACTCTTAAGTTAAATATTCTAATAGCAGTCGCTCCAGGGCAGGAAATCTCAACACCTCTGAATGTAGACTTGAAATAAAAGTTTCTCTTAAAAAAATATCAGCCGGTCGGAGGCGGCTAAGTAGAACTCTAAAACCCTCCATTTATTGGAAAAGCATCAAGACGCATAGTACAAATTTGAGGAAAATCACTTCAGCCGTTTAAAATACTCGTATATAATATATCTATACTTTCCAACGATTTAATAAATGTACAGATGTTATGTGGTGTATTTCTACTATAGAAAAGTTTAAAGTTCTTCAAAACTGTGCCGTGTAGTTTACGGCAAGTGAACGCCGAACCCAGGGGTGCTTTGCTCGATTCCGTTCCAGATATTTTCATGTGCATAGATGCATCTCTTCAGCAGAGGAAATTCGGCAGAGGAAATGGTGCAGCTAGACCGGCACGCAAACTGTCGGAAGAAGGCGGAGGCATTGGACACCATTCACTTGAATCTTTAAAAAAAAAACGCTTGCTATTTAAAGGAATTCGTTTTTTCTGTGCCGCCTAAGCTAAGAACAAAGATTTCACTGAGCGATCTATCAACCGTGTAACAGTTCTGAAACGCGTCAGAATCGAACTGATTAACTAACGAAATATATCATGGCCAAAGAGCGGTGAGCATCCACAAGCGATTTCAAAAAAAACGCCAAACAAGTTGATACTCCGCCTAAAATTACAGACTTGTGTTGGGACATTGTGATGCATCCACCTTATAGTCCACAGCTTTCACCAACCGACTACCATTTTTGGGCCTTTGCAAAGCTCTTGATCGCAGAGATTCTATGCAAATGAAATTGTGAAACTATTCGAGAAATTAATTTCTTAAGCCTATAGATCCGCTTCTGAAAACAGTCTTCAAAACGTAGCTCAGCATTAACCGCATTAATTATCTCTTCGTTGCTATTAAAGAGCTTTCAATTTTAATTATTTTTTTTTTTTAGAAATAATCAGAAATCACCAGGTGCTATATCCGGGGAATATGGAGCTGGACGTGTTTCTTCGATCGCAGAGATTGCAATAAAATTACACGTTATTTCAGCAGCGATTGTAACCGTTGAAGCAATCTTTGGACGAGCTCATCTTCCAATTTGTAGTTTTGCCTCTTGATGTTTTTCCGACAAATGGAGGGACCTGCAGTTTATACTAAGTCGCCTCCGAACGCCTAATGGTTTTTGTAGGATGAAAATCTGATTTTTTATTTCAGAAATACACTCGTAGGGGTTGACATTACCTGCCGAGGGGCGATCGCAAATAGAAAATTTAGCTTAATTTTTTATTTAAATTACTTTTCTATAATTTTTTAGCGATTGGTCGTACCAGGATTTGAAGCCGAGCCTTCCGAATGGCAGTACACAATGCAAACCACTCGGCTACGTTTTTTTTTGCTCCTGGCAAATTTGGACTTCACCAGAGAAGTTTTTGGTCGACCCTCTTGTGGCTCCCCTTCCACGGAAAAATGTCTGGTCTGTAATCTTTGGAACCACTTAGAAATAGTCTTTAAAGACGGTGCAATCGTTCCATATGCAATTCGCCATTGACTGTAAATTACGCCGAAGCCCGAAGAGAATCACATGGCAGAATTTATGTTTGCGTTGATGTTGGAGTTACGTCTAAGTTATCCTCAGCTATATTGCGTCTTCTCGTCTCCATTTCCGCCGATCGTTCTTAAATTTGAAAGGAAGGCTAATAAAGTAATTGCAAAGGATTTGGTATTTTTAGATTTAACAAAGACAAATTGAAAGTCACCAACTGACCGTACTTTTGTTAAACCCCTTGTGTATTTTATATTACATTTTCGTTCGTCTGACTCATCGGTCAACTGTTACTCTTTCAGATTTCTTTCCCAATAATTAACTATAATTTGGTCTATATGTAAGTCTCCAGTATTCTCGAAATACATGTCCATAAATTTTGCTAGCTTTATCCCATTCAGAGCGGTATCTGCCGAGCCGATCCCATAATTACTTCACTTTAATTCAATTTTAGTCTTTAGTGCGCTAAATCTCTGGCGATGACTGTATATCAAGCATCATAAAATGAGAGACTTTATCAGTATTCTTTCTTTTCATTTCACCAAATGCGTTTTCAAAAATGTAAACAAATATGAAATTTCTCGGCGAAAATAGTTTGCATTCTAATTATCTCTCTCCAGAATCTTTCATTCTTGAAATTTAATTAAAAAAGAGATGGGCAACGAACTGTTTCGTTTGTATGGAGAGACGGGTGATTGTGATCAATCTTTGTTCTGGTTACATATTTTCCCATTTATCTGCGACCCTATTAGTCCTTGCTGTCTCAGTTTGTCTGGCTCTAACTGTTCAGTTCTGTCTTA